CAGGGTGAAAGGTGAAAAATAGGGGTTTAGTTTCATTCTTCTACAGTCGGTTATCCAGTTTTGCCAGCACCATTTGCTGAACATGCTGTCTTTCCTCCAGTGAATATTCTTGGCCCCTTTGTCAAATATCTGAAATTGCAAATTGCATGTACTCATATCATTGATCTATGGGTCTATTTTTGTGCCAGTACCATGTTGTTTTTATGACTATAGCTCTGTAATACAGCTTAAAATCTGGTATAGGAATCCCCCCAGCATTGCTCTTAGTGTTCAGGGTTGTTTTGGCTATCCGAGGTCTTTTGTGCTTCCATATGAATCTTAGGATGGTTTGTTCCAATTCTGTGAAAAATGTCATGGGGCTTTTGATTGGCATTGCACCAGTGCAGTAATTTTTAGAGAGAGGGAGAAAGGACATTTGGGGAAAGTGCACCATTCTTGGTATTTTTCTTAGTCTGATCCGTCGTGCTGTGTCATAGGATGTGCTGTTGAACTACTCTGTGGGGACTCTGGGTTAAGCTCTTGACCTCAATAACAACCTGATGTTGGCAGATGCCTCCTTGTTTCAGCAACCTTGTACATCTCCACGATTGTCCTCAGGGCAGACTGCCTGTGTGTCCAGAGTTCTGAGCCTAAAAGGAGCAGGTGTGAGCATGCTCTTGCCATGCTGTGTGGCTATAGACCCCTGAGACTCCACACTTACTGCAAAGCTCAGCTGTTGGAGGGTATGATGCTTGTGTCACCTGCCTGCCAGGACCTAACCAAGCAGCAGTTCTTACGGCATAGCTCTGCCATCCTGTCTTCTTGGGAACCTGACCTGGTTGATTCCAGGATCTTGATCATGCCTTCCTTCATTCGTTTAATGGCTGTTAGTGGAATGCTTGCCGTATGCCAACAGGCACTGAGGATGCAGCTGAGTAAGGCAGAGGTAGAGTCATGGAGAGTAGCCTTGAGGGAGGGAAAGTGTCATTTCCCAGATGAACGATGTAAATTTAGGTTGTAATACTTTGCTGTAATGGCGATGTGGTGGTGAACGTGTGAAATGAGAGTAGTCAGGCAGACCTCTGAGGAGGGCCATCCCAGCTGAGTATGGGAAGGAGCCCTCCAAGTGTGCACCTGTGCAGGAAAGAAGTCTGGGCAGATGGAATCACAGGTGCCAGGTCCAGAGGCAGGAAAACACCTGGTATATTCAAGAAGCCAGGTTGGCACATGCTAGTACTTGGGAGGCTAAGGCAGAGGATTGTGAGTTCAAGGCCAGCCTTGACAATGGCATAGTGAGACAGTTTCAAAAACTCAAAAGAGGGGAGCTGGAGAGATGACTCAGCAGTTAAACACATTGGCTGTTCTTGCAGAGAACATGCATTCACTTCCTGGCACCCACATGGCAGCTAACAACCATCCATAACTCCAGTTCCAAGAGAACCAGTGCCCTCTTCTGACCTCCATGGGCATTGCATAACACAGGTGCACTTACATGCATGCATACAGGCAATACATTCATATACATAAAGTAAAAATAAATAAATAAACTAAAAAGATGGAGGTGGTGAGGAGGATTGTGCTAGAGTGAGCTCAGATGAGTCATAGGCCATGTGGAGGGTGCAGCGTGCCTGGACCCCGGGAAACCTTGGAAAGCTGCTGAATGGAGGAAAGTTGGAATTCCGAAGAGGAGGCAAAGCTAGGCTTGATTCTGGCTATTTCTAAGGTGGACAGAGAAACAGCAGTGCCCCAACGCCTATTTTGATCAGAGACTTAATTGCACGTTGCCTGTTCGGACCCCGTGTGTTTTGGGTCCTAAAGTCTGGGGACTGTCTCTTTGCAGGCAGACATCCTGCACTTGACTGACTCTGCAGTGCGGGGCCAGCTTTTCCTTGATGTGCTTGATGGGACCAAAGCATTAGTAAGTGCATCTGGGAGATTCTCCACCCCCCATCCCCCCCAAGGCCACAGAGTCCTCACGAACTGCCTGCCTATTGCACAGTGGTCAGTTAGGTGGCCTGGGAGGTGAGGCTGCAGTGGTAAACAGGTGCTCGCGGCTCCTTGCACCACCGGAGAGGTCAGTGCCGGGCACGGAAGGCACAAGGCGAATAGTACCCTGTGGGTGGGACCCAAATCTGCTGCGTCTGCTCATAGGAAGTCGGACTGATGCTCTGCTGTCTCTCCCCTCAGCTCCTTGTTGCAGCATCAGTGAACTGCCTCCGCCTCGGCTCCATGATGTGCACTCTGCTGCTGGTGCTTCTCCGGCAGTGGAAGAGGTAAGTGCGCTCCTAGGAATAACTGAGGCCTTAGCCACTTCAGCAGTGCCCACCCACCCTTCCTGACTGATCTTTCCCCTTCCTGGGAGAGTGGGCTAACATCCATCACAGGAAGTGGAGCGACTTAGCAGACCACCTGCAGAAGCAGACTGCCAGTGTCTCAGAGATGGAGCAAGGGCAGTAAGGGATGCTGCCTCCGTCTGTGTTTTTCCAGAGAGCTGGGTGCTGTGGATAAGATCCTTGGACCTTTAACAGAGGTCCTGGAGGGGGTACTGCAGGCAGACCAGCAGCTCATGGAGAAGACCAAAGCCAAGGTGTTTTCTGCGTTCATCACGGTGTTACAGATGAAGGAGATGCGAGGTGAGTGGGCAGCTAGGCCATGACTCCCACTGTCCGCTCCCCTCCCACAGTGTGCCACCCACCCTCCTAGTACCTACCTACATTCTCAGCCCCTGCCATGAAGGCGGCCTTCATGTATGGCGAGAATGGCCTGCCTTGTGTGACAGTGTCCCCTTCCCATCTGTTGTGCAGTAAGTGACATTCCCCAGTACTCCCAGCTGGTGCTGAACGTCTGCGAGACCCTCCAAGAAGAGGTGATTGCACTCTTTGATCAGACCCGCCACAGCCTGGCATCCGGCAGCTCTGCAGAGGACAAGGACAGCATGGAGACAGATGACTGCCCCCGGCCCCGGCACAAGGACCAACGTGATGGGGTGAGGACGTCCTAGCAGGCTGCCTCCCCTGCCCAGTGTCTGTCAGGCAGATGGTCTGGCAGCAGTCGCTGCCCTCACAGCCCCCACTGTCTGGGAGAAAGCAGGGAGCTGAGAGCCTGAGGAACCGCAGAGCCTGTGGGGATGAGGCTGTAGGCCCAGCTCCCCTCCTACCTCGCTGCCATTTCATGAGAGAGGTAGGCGGGAGAGATTTGGGTAATGAGAAGAGTGCACGGCCAGCCTTGGGGCAGCCTCTTCTGGTGGCCTGAACGGTGGCTGACATGAGCAGACTGAAGTGAGGGCAGAAGTGGATGGGGTGCCACCTGCAACAACAGACCAGGGTGACAGGAAACAACTTGAGGATTTAAAACGAAGGATAAGGGTTAAGGGTTGGGGCTGAGGCTCAGTGGTAAAGCATTTGCTTAACATACAGGAGACCCTGGATTCAGTCCCTAAGCGCTGCCCCCCCCCGCAAAAAAATTAATTTAGCTGGGTATGGTGGGGCCCCACACTCAGCAGGCAGAGGCAGCCAGATCGCTGATTTAGGCTAGCCTGGTCTACATAGCAAGTTGCAGGCAAGCTGGGGCTACAGGGAGATCCTATCTCAAAGAAGAAAAGTATAAAACCCTGGTGATACACCTGAAGGTAGGTGCTATGGTCAGCAAGAGGTAGGGCCACTCAGAGTGCCAGTGGCAGAGTAGGACGGACCGTGCAGGTGGAAGGCGTATGTTTGGGTGGGTGGATTGCCATCCCTCGAGTTGGGCATAGGAGAGGAAGGAGTAGGGTGGGAAGAGCAGGTGCTGTATCAGTCCACTTCCAAAAGGAGTGTAGGGCAGCCAGGCCCAGAGCTGACGCTCTTCCCTGCTAGCCTGCGTTTTCCCGTTCACACATCTTTGCCCTTTGGCCTCAGCAGGTCTGTGTCCTGGGACTGCATCTGGCCAAGGAGCTCTGTGAGGTAGATGAGGATGGGGACTCATGGTTGCAGGTGACCCGGAGGCTCCCCATCCTGCCCACGCTCCTCACCACCCTGGAGGTGAGCCTCCGCATGAAGCAGAACCTGCACTTTACTGAGGCCGCGCTGCACCTGCTCCTTACCTTGGCTCGCACCCAACAGGTAGGAGGCCAGTTCAGGTGGAGGAGCCTCCCTGCTTGTGTGAACGGCCGATGCTCCCAGAGGACAGGGCCTGGCTCTGCAGTTACAGAGGGACAAGAGCAGGCTCCATCTAATTTTGGTTTTTCCTTCCAGGGAGCCACAGCAGTGGCTGGAGCTGGCATCACCCAGAGCATTTGTTTGCCCCTCCTGAGTGTCTACCAGCTTAGCAGCAATGGCACTGGACAGGTAAGTCCCAAGACCTTCCAGGAGCCTGACCCTGTCACTCATAGGTGGAAGTGCCCTCCCCACCTTGCTGCTGCTCTGCCCTGGAAGCTGCTCTCCTCTCACTGGTTTTCCCAGTGTACCAGCGGCACTGATTCCCCACTCTTAGCAGCAGGCTAGTGAAGCAGCCAACAGAAGGCACCTGAGCATGTGCTTGGCATGAGGCTGGCCCTGGTCCAGTCCCTAGCACCAAAAAAACTGGGGGTTAAAAAGGATGCCACCTGGCCTCTGGGTCCTGTCCACCAGCTTGGAGAGATGGGGTGAACACTTCTTACTACCAAATTAGGCTGAGAACAGAACCCTGGGACCAGACCTCTAGCCAGGCAGTTTGTTTCCCCAAAAGGCAGTGTGTACTTGTAGTTTTTCCACCCCAGCCCTCTAGGTACCTCAGTTATCTCTCACTGGTAGATGTATCCCAGCATCACAGAACCCTCCCTCTTGTCTGAATTGAGTATTCTAGCCTAGTCTCCCTTTAAAGCATCTAATTTTGTTTTTTCCAAACATAGAGCATGTTCAAGGCCAGAGTAGGGCAGGGACACAGCCCAGTTGACATAGCTGGTTAGTCTGGAACCTGGGGTCTACCTCTGCTGTGCGCAGTCTGCTGGCTATGCCCCTCCCAGCTCTTCTCATGCCAGTGGTAGCTGTGCCCACTGTATGAGATTTTCTCTTCTGGCAGTTGAGCCACAACGAGGTCCTGCTGCTCTGTCAGTGGTCCCGAGGTCCACATCCGAGCCTATGTGCCATTTGCTTTAGACACCCAGCAGCTCTCGGAAGTCCTTGGATGCCCCCTCCTGGCCAGGGGTCTACCGCCTGTCCATGTCCTTGATGGAGCGTTTGCTGAAGACTCTGCGCTACAACTTCCTGACTGAGGCCTTGGATTTCGTGGGTGTCCATCAGGAGCGGACGTTGCAGGTGAGGGGCTGCCTGCCTCCCGGGAGTGGATACCTGGAGCCACTTGGGGCAGGTGGGTATTAGGCTTGAGATGTTCTAAGAACCCTGGCTAACCTGCCAGCCAGAGCCGCTGAGTGATCCAGTCTCAGGTCTGTACTGATAGAACCCTTTGCTATCAACACCAGGTCACGTCGGCATGTGTGGGCCCAGTACCTAACCTCCACAGTTAGGTAGACATGGTGTGCTAGTCCCTGACCTGTGTCTTTTCCTGCTGTCCTGCCCTTTCAGTGCCTCAATGCAGTGAGGACGGTGCAGAGTCTGGCCTGCCTGGAGGAAGCAGACCACACTGTGGGCTTCATCCTGCAGCTCTCCCACTTCAGGAAGGAATGGCACTTCCACCTGCCTCAGCTCATGCGTGATGTTCAGGTGAGCCTCTGGTACTGTTCTTGGAGGGTCTAGGGAGGTGATGGGGGCAGGATGGCTGTGGGCACACCCCCTCCCCCAGTGAACTACAGACTCTCCCAGTTCATTCTTGCTTAGGGACATAGGTTTGCTTCAAGCTGCTTATTTGGGCTCAGTTCTTCCTCCACAGCAGAGCAAGGCTGTGTAGATTGAGAACTTGCGCTCTATGAGGTCAACTTGGGTTCTCAGGAGTAGGCCTGAAGCTGGAGATGCTCCACAGGCTTTGGAGGTAGCAGGTTACTGCCATGGGTTGCTGCCTGTGTGACCTTTGCCAGGTCATGTCACCTCTGTCCTGTGGTGTGGAAATAGCAATCCCCATCTTCTGCTGAGGACCCTGAATGTGCCAGACGTGCAACTGAAAACAGCCCAGGCCCGAGTCCTGCTGGTGGCTGGATGACTGTTAGGCTATAGGATCAGTCAGTGAGAGGGGAGGCCTGTTTGTGGGACTGTCTCCCCAGAGCTTTACCTGTCCCTCCTATGTCCCAGGTGAACCTGGGTTACTTATGCCAGGCCTGTACCTCCCTTCTGCACAGCCGCAAGATGTTGCAGCACTACCTGCAGGTAACCATGCCCCTGGCCCGTCACTGTTCGCAGTGCCTCACCCATGGACTCCTGGACTCACCCTTTATTTCTTGACTCCTCTCAGAACAAAAATGGGGATGGGCTCCCTTCGGCCGTCACTCCTCGAGTTCAGCGGCCATCTACCACCACCACAGCTCCTGCTATCCCCTCCAGCTGCTCTTCCAAGCAGCCTTCGGCTGACACAGAGGCCTCAGAGCAGCGAGCCCTGCACACCGTCCAGTATGGCCTGCTCAAGATTCTCAGCAGGACCCTGGCAGCCCTGCGTCACTTCACTCCAGATGTCTGCCAGATCCTGTTGGATCAGGTACCAACCATGCCTCATACCACTGGGCTCCTGGCAGCCAGCCTTGAACCTGGGCTCTGCAGTGCACTGTGCTGTCTGCTCTGGGGAGCTGCCAGGGTTCTAGGTCCAGAGTGTGTCCTTGCCTTGCAGTCCCTGGATCTTGCTGAATACAACTTCCTGTTTGCCCTCAGCTTCACCACTCCCACTTTTGACTCTGAAGTGGCCCCCTCCTTCGGAACCCTCTTGGCCACAGTGAATGTGGCCCTCAACATGCTCGGGGAGGTAGGTCTGGCCCCTCCACCCAACTCTCCTCGCAGTCTGCCACTTCCTAGTGATATGGAACACACCATGCAGCCTGACCTTCTGTGAGGATGAAGTGAGGTAACGAGAACCTGAAGTGCAGAGACCAGCTGTGTAGGACGCTCTCAAGAACTGGCAGCTGCTCCTGCCGTCTGATTTTCTTCTGCTTCTTTTCCTCTAGCTGGACAAGAAAAAGGAGCCCCTCACCCAGGCTGTGGGTCTCAGCACACAGGCAGAAGGGACTCGGACGGTAAAGTAAGACCTGGGACTGGATGAGGGCTAAGTGGCTTGGCTGCACTCAGGTGGGCCCTTTGCAGCAGTGCCCAAACCTGCCTTCTCCAGGTCCCTCCTGATGTTCACCATGGAAAACTGCTTCTACCTGCTCATCTCCCAGGCAGTGCGGTACCTTAGGGACCCAGCTGTGCACCCCCGGGACAAACAGCGGATGAAGCAGGAGCTGAGCTCAGAGTTGGTAAGGACGGGTAGAGAAGGGCACTAGGTGGCGGGCTGGCCAGCAGGGACAGCCAATCCTATGGGCTCAGGGTCAGGCCCCGGTGGTGCTGAGCCTCATCGAGCTGCTGCTTTTCTTGTAGAGCACGTTGCTTTCCAGCCTCTCACGATACTTCCGACGGGGAGCCCCCAGCTCCCCTGCTGCTGGCCTCCTGCCCTCGCCCCAGAGCAAGGCCACCTCTGCCTCTAAAACCAGCCCAGAGTCTCAGGAGCCTGTGATCCAGCTGGTGCAGGCCTTCATCCAGCACGTGCAGAGATAGGGTAGTAGTGTGCTGCTCCCTACCAGCCTGAGTCACAGCTCCAGCCATGCAGAGACTATTGGCCTGACCACTGAGAGCAGCTCCCTTCATTTTCTCCTAAGTAGCCACGACTCCAACCACCGCCCACTGACATTATTTTTGCAACAGCTTGAGAAATCAACAGCACCAACAGGGAGCTGAGGGACTGGGTGCTCAGGCCCTGTCACATCTCTGAGGTGGTTCTTTTCCTTTGAGCATTCCCGTGGCATGTGACAGGCCAGGGAGGTGCTGGGTGCCAGCAGCACAGGACAGCCTGTGTGTGGCATGAGGGTTTTCCATGATCTGTTCTTGCGGTTTTTTGGTAATACTGTGGTCTATTTATACAAATATTAAAGTACTGTTTATAGACAGTGGAGTGAGGTATGCCTTCAAAGCTTGGGGACGATGTAGGGCTCAGAGCCTTGGACATGTGGCCTCCCCCTGGCCCAGGGTGAGGAGGCAGCCTGAGGACGGCAAGACATCTCCGGAGGGCTGATTGGCCAGCACCTGCCCAGTAGTCCTGGGGACACTGTTGGGACAGGCTGCGCAAGGGGGAGTCAGGAGTCTAGGGACTCCGGGGGTGGCCTTTCTGGAGCTGCACTGCTGCTCACCTGTAGCTCCTCCTACCTGCAGAGACCCAGCTAACAGCTGCCCATTGGGGCCATCTGCCAAATGGCCACACTTGTGCCCATAATCAGGCTGACCTGGGCTCAGGTCCCCACCTGACCACCTAGCGCCTAGTGGAGGTGGTGATTGTCATCCCTTACTATGAAGGGGAGGCATGTGCTAGGCTCTAGGCCAAGCCCACAGAAGGCCCCAGCTGTTGGCTGCCTGAGCTCCAGTGGTGGGCAAATGACTACAGTCCTCAGTCCAGATCTAGGAAAGTTCACAGGAATGAAGTGTTTATTGCAGCTTCATGCGTGGGAACCGTGCTGCCGGGAGACACGGAGCCTCGTGTAACTAGGACGCTGTAAGAACTGTCCCTTTGCCCTGCATTCTGGGAGCAGTCTGCCATGGTACCTCACACCCTCCACACCAAGCCTACCCAGAGAAGGGGCCAATGAGGTCATCCCATCACTGCTTTCGGAGTGGCCTGTGCATCAGACCCTCATGGGAGCCCGACAAGTTGCACACAGGGTTTTATTTGCTAAAGCATGAGCAGACGAGACAGACAGGAGTAAAAATACCAGTTAAAAATTGAGGGAGGGCTGTAGCCACCACCCTCAGAGCTCAGAGCTGGGAGGGAGAGGGGAACACTGGGTGGTGCTGCTCCCGCTGACCCTTGTGGTGTTACTAGACCCTCCTGTCCCAGACTGTCAGCCCTGCCTGCCTTCTGCTGTCCCCCTCGACCTTTGGCTACTAAAAGGCTGATGCTCTTTTCATGCCAAGGTGTCCCCAGCATATCCTGGGCCCATGGTGCTAAATGTAGTGTCCCTCCCTCCTTAGGGGAACTGGGAGACCTCGGGCGTGCAGGGGTACAGGTCAAAAGCAGGGCTAGCAGAGGGGCCTGGAGCCATTCCGCCTTGTGGGGTTCCTTAGCTGGACAACTGGCATGACCAGAATGGGGTTAGGCCCCCATCCTAAGCAGCTGTGTCCCCAGGAGACAAGGGTGGCAGGCCTGGGAGGGGCCGCTTAGCTGAGCAGTTCCAGGTAGGTGACAGGGACCTTGCCCTTCTTGTTGCCTCTCTCGCCAATGAGCCAGTCAGGGTCCATGCCAGGCAGGCTGTAGACAGTAATGAGCTGTGGGGGGGAGCAGAGGGGAAGCTCGTGCCCTGGACAAGCGGAGAACTGGCCCCAGGACTAAGTGGGGAATCAGTCACTGCAATGGCAGCAGCTACTTCATAGCAGAATTGAGATGTCACAGGTCAAGGACTGCTTCCTAAGAGCCGTACTCGCCCCCCCACCCCACCCCACCCCCAGGGTCTCAAGGACTCCAAGACTGATGTGGGCTGTGTGAGCCTGGTCCTGGTCTCAGGTCTGGTGGCTCCTAGTCCAGCTCTTGTCTGCCCCCTTCACGACCCCAGGCCCACCTCATCAGCCAGCAGGGCCAGCTCACTGCTGTCAGCCGCTTCATAGTCGTAGAGCACCCGGGCCTTGCGAGTCCCACTGGCAGGGGGGGGCACCTCCTCCAGGCACAGTGCCGCCTCCCCTGGAGGGGCCAGGCCAGGCACAGTGGGTGCTACAGACATAGTGGCTGCAGTGGTGGTGGGTGATGTGCTGCTCAGGGGTGGGGAGGCAGGCTCCGAAGTACCCACAAAAGTGCCTGGAAATCTAGAGGGAGAGGGTACCTCAGCAACCAGAGCTGACCCCACAAGACGTCCCAATGCCAGTGCCCACCCCACTCCCAAGGGCCTCACCCCCAGTGACTTACATGGCACCCTGGGAGCTGGCAGCACAAGAGGAAAAGCAAAGGAAACTGAGATAGTTCACCCCCTTGTCCCTGCCCTCCTCCCTACTCCACTCTAGAAACTTCTCGGAGCCCTATGAGACTCAGTAGTCACTGAGGGCAGCCACTCAGGTGGGGTTCTGGCCATAGCCCTCCAGTCCTGTGTGTCAAGGGGCTTTCTGTGAGCTCAAGAAAAGGGTCTTGGCTAGAGGCCTGGGCCACTCACTGGGTCAGGGAGATAGGGGCCCCCAGGGACCTGGGCCCAGCCACACCTGCCCAGTTGCTTCTGTAGGTCCAGCATGTGGCGGTAGCACTGTGCATAGTAGGTCGTCTGAGACTTGACAAACTCGTGGAGGCAGCGAAGGTGGTTCACCTGGGAGGAAAAGACTGGGGCTCCTTCTAACCTCTGGCCTCAGGTGGGCTATCCCCATCCATCTCTTGCCAGACCCAGCTACAGGTACCGCTGGGTGAGAATGAGATACCCAGTCTATGGGTCCCCTGTCTGTAAACTTTGGCAGGACATGAACGCAGGACTCACATGGGTGCTGCTGATCCCTTCCAGCAGGAGACGGGTCACTTCTGCCTGCCGGTCGAACTCTGTCTGGGCCACTCGAAGCTCCTGCTCAGCCTGGGAGGGTCAGGCAGGGTCAGAGCAGCTCTCACCCTGCATCTCTTCTATCAGCCTTCCCTGTGCCCTGAGGCACACTGGGAGCCCCGGGACACCTCACCCCTGACTTTGCACCTAGAACCCTGAGTCCTGGAGAAGCCAGAGCCTACTTGGGACCTCTGGATAGCTGCAGAGAGAGACCCTGCCTTCAGTACTCAGCAGGGTGGAATCCACCAGATGCCTCTTTAGAGCCTAACTTGCTGTGGAGCAAATACTTCCCACACAGAGGACCTGGTAATGCCCAGCAGTGCCCCAGTGGGTGTGGGGCAGAGCCCAGAGCTACAGATACCTGACCCACACAGGAGGTGTCTGGACCCTGATCCCATTCTTCTAGCCCTTGTCCCCTAATTCCCCCGTTCCCAACTCACCTTGTCTACCTCGTCGTTCCAAAGCTGCAGAGCACAACAGCACCGGTCAGTGAGGAAGAGGAGGTGGGTACCCATCAGTGGAGGAGTGGCAACAGCCAGACCCCAGAGCCCGTGCGTGCCCTGCCGCAGCTCCCAGACACCCAACCTCTGCCCACCCTTTTCTGCTCGGCCCACCCTGGCCCAACCAGGAGCTGAGGCCGGAATGAGGCTTGGCAGAAAGGCAGGGAAGTAACCACACCCCGTCTAGCATGCTGCATGCAGGGGCCAGCCAGCTGGGAAGTCCTGCTTGCACTTCTACAGCATCCGCCCCCAACGCTAAGTGGGTCTTAAGAGAGAGCAAATGTCCCCACCCCACCCTGACTCCTGCTTGGAGGCAGGACAGGACGAGTGACCCTGGGCCAGTCACTGAACCTTTCTGTCCTCTGGCAGAGAAAGGCAGCCTCGGGCCTGAGTCACACTGGGGGTCAGTGGCAAAAGAAAAAAACAAGGCGGCCTCCACCCTCCAGGATGTTTCTCCTCGGCCCAGGGAGGGGAGCGGGAAGTGTCATCCAGAGTCTAGAGAAGAAAGACCCCCCCTCCCCCAACCATGACTTAGGAGACCCAATTCTGAACTGGCCACCCATGGAGAGCTGACCTAGGATAATACCCTGACACATGGACCTCCCATGGATCGGGGCCAGCAGGGTGCACAGCCCACAGTGGGAGCATCATCCTCATGGTACACTGGAAGGCCTGGCAACAGGTCTGGGAGTAAACTATGGTTGATGCCTCAGGGACAGTTGTCAGCCATGGAATGATGGGACAGCACAACTCACACAGCAGCATGCTCAGGACAGGAGAAGAGAGCCAGACGGCCAGTGCAAGAGGGTCTTACCCAGGAGATGGAGGGAGAGAGGTTGCTACCCAAGTACGAGAGGTGGCTGGCCTAGCTCCCACAATGAGCACTACACACCAACTAACTCAACCACAGTGCAGAGAGCAGAGCCTACAAGTCCAAGGCCACTGGGCCAGCCCAGCCTACCTCCCTTCAACTGTCCTCTCCAGGATACCGCCTGTGCTGGAGCTGGACCTGGGAGTCTGGGCTCCACTTGGGACCACCCACCCCTTCAACAGGTGCCTCCCAGGTCACCCAGCTTCCAAGCTACAAATGTGGTTGGGCAAACAGTTGTCTAGGAGTCTGAGTAGGGGAAGTCATGCCCAAGCAGCCTCCTCTAGCCCACTCAGTGCCTGGCACTCAAGAAACATGAGGAGGTTGGGGCAGTGTCCCCTGTGGGAAAGAGTGGGATGGAAAGACCCTCCTGAGGTTCTATGCAGCTGTCAAAACATTTATTCCACCTTGAGCAGATAGAAACCAGCTCAGCCCGACCACTGGGCAAGGCTGTGGGCAGAGACAGGGTTGTGGCTTCCCTGATCTGAGCTGCCCCCAGTCTCTCAAGGCCACCAGCCACATGAGCAAGGCCCTTGTCTCACCTGCCGGCTCCTGGTCCTACGCTGGCAGAGCCAGCACCTGGGGCTGTGGGCAGAGGAGGCTGGGGTGGGGCAGGGTGGGAGGGGCGCTTACCGCGGAGGCGCTGGCCGAGAGAATGTAATTACGAGGTCTAGTCTCCTGAAAGTCAGGCACCGTCTGGCGAGGAAGAGTTCATGGGGGAGGGGGTGGTCACCCTGGGCCAGGGCCGGTGTCAAGGCCAGGAGGTGGCCCCGGGGTCTCCTATAAGGAGATGCAAGAGGCCCTGGCCCCAGGGAGAGGAAGACACAGATACAGCACAGACAGACCCCTCGGCCCACTCCATCCCAGTCAGCTAAGGATGAGTGGGCTTGGGGGCTCAGTGGGTCCACATGAACATCCAGATGTGCTTGGAAGCCCAAGAACCAAGTGGCAAGAAGCTTGAGCAAGCCACAGGCTTGCCCTGGCCCTCTGGCCTGGACCCCAGGTGCACTCGGAGGCCCACTGGACCCACAGCCCTCCCACCACAGCTTTCTCCATCCCACAATCTCCGAGCACTGTTTCTGGTTCCTGCATCAAGGCCAGGCTCCTCCCCAGACAGATGGATGCATGGACAGACAGAGTGATAGGCTTTCTCCATTTGCAAGAAGCTGCCTCACAGGCTTCAATGCCTGCAACCCCTCAAACCAGAGACTGCCCCATAGGCAGAGGTACTGGGGGGAGAACAGCTGATTGCAAAAGCCCCAGGGCACACCCTGGGCCGGACATGGCACTGGGGCCCACGGACAGGATGGGTGACCAGAAGCAGCACAGCACGTGGGACAGGTATACTCACATCTCCCTCACACTGAGCCAAGTTACCCAAAGCAGAACAGAAAGGAACAAAAACAGAGAGTTAGTAAGTCCACAGCACAGGCGGAAGCGGGCCCAGCCAGCCTGGCGGGAAGGGGCACAGAAGGATGGCGCAAGGCGCTCACAAGCCACGCTTGTGTGCCCATGGGTGAACTGCTTGCTGCTCCTGCCTCACTTGACCCACAGGCCCGAGGCTCTCTGTGCCCGAAGGGGAGAAGTGGTCACACTGCGGAGACTAGGGAAAGACATAAGTAACAGGGAAAACCGTCCTGCCCAGATGAGTGACAAGTAGTCACCCCAACAGCCACAGTCACCCTCTCCATGTGAGTAGACTACACACCTGGTTGACTAGAGACCCTGTTACAGCTCTCACCGGAGGCAATGGAGGCCCCAGTGGCCATACTGACCAGGGACCTTACAAGGAAGGAAGTGAATCGCAGGGAGCCCACCAGGCTCCCTGGGCTGGCCCATCCTTCAACTGACAGGCTGGGGGAGCATGGAGAAGCTTCCCTAGCATGCCCTGGGCCTGGGAGTTTCCTCCTCAGGGTGTGAGGTGGCTATAAGGCCCTTATATCTCTGAGTAGCCTGCATGCCAAGACTGTGCTGAGCTTCAGGCCCAGCTCTCCCCCTCCTGACCTAGCCCTGTCAAATCAGCTCAGCCTGGTCTGGCCGGGATGAACAGGCCCTGATGAGCCGGGAGTGAAAGAGGAGCGGGATGGCCCAGGCCCTACTCCTCAGATAGCCCCTGCATGGTGATACGGGGGGCTAGCAGTTCTGGTGCCCTATGTTCTGGTGAGGGACACCCTGCACCCAGCATTCAAGCAGCAGGTGGGGCAGTTAGTAGGGGAGCCATGCCCAGGCAGGACCAGGCTGAGCATCCAGAGAGGCAGGGAAAGGCATGCAAGAAGTCCACCTGGCATCTAGGAGGCTGGGGGTGCCTTGGTCCAGTTAGGGGCACTGTGGGTTGGCCTACCCCATAAATGTCTGCCCTGGGGCCGCCAGAGTTCCCTGGGGTGGGGACAGAGACTGTGACCCAACCAGTCTGCAAAGTCCAGCCCCAGCCGGGAGAGGGGACATGCCAAACAGCAGGTCCCGCATGCCCCCACACTGGGCTCCCACCAGAGCTTGAGGCAGGAGCAGGCAGGGCACCTACCGTGGCTTTGGCTTCTGCAGCCTTTGCCTTCTTCAGCCTCGCTTTGCAAGCGTCCAGGTCGAGGCGTCGGTTCTGCAGGAGACGCCTTTCCTTCTGCAGGGAATGGTGCGGATGGTGAGACCTGCCCGGCTCGGGAGACCCCTGGCTAAAGCAAGGCTGGGAAACTGAGACCCAGGGATGGGAGGTCACTCCGGGTCACTTGGCCTAAGGGAGCTCCATCTGTGGGTGTGGGGGTGGGGGGCTGTGTGTGGGTCCCCTTCCTAGGATGACAGCATCGCACAGAGCTGAGGAATGGACCCAGGCCCCTTACCGAAATCGTCTTCCAGTCCCCTTCCAGGAAGTTTCGCAGAGGTGTGAGGAAGCTGAGGGAGGCAGTGTGAATGAAATCCCGTTCTGCGGCTCCCAGGCGCTTTTCAGCCTCTGACACCTTGATCAGTGTCTTTCCTGGGGAGACAGAGTAGGGCAAGGCTCAGGCTGCTCTGCCAACAGGAAGCAAGGGGGTAAGAGCTCAGAAGGAGGAAAGCTATTCAAGCAAAGAAGAGCAGCAACCTGCAGGGCCACCAACAGGGACAGACCAACATGTAGGACATCTAACATGAAACACTGTGGCCCTAGTAAGCTGTGCAGGGGCTACCGGGGTGTAGCTCAGGGAGGAGCCTTGCCTGGCATACAGGGGAAGGACAAGGCCTCTCACATTGCTCAAAGAATGAACGATTCAATAGAGATTCTGGAGGATTTCCAGAATGACAGAGAAAGGACTTTAACAAACCTCCCTCAAATCAGCATCAACGGCACACAATTGTCAAAGAGATTCACTTCCAGACTCTGGGAACTGACCAAAGACAAAAAAAAAACTGACCAAAAACAAAAAAGGATGTCCAGATCTCAGTGAGAACAAGGGAGTGTGGCATCTAAGCCCAGAGTTGGTCCCTCTCTTCCATCTACGGTGTTCTGCACTGCCACCTCTGCGGCTGGAGGGGATGACATGATTTGGAGTTGCACAGAAACCCCAGGAGACAGACACTACTGCAAACGGCAGCAATCTAAATGGCCAACAGTTGGCAAAGGCCAACATGGCAGCTAACCTGAGGCTGGAGGCCTGGTAGGAATTAAGAGGTCCAGAAAGAGTCTAGGGCATCCTGATGAGCTCCCAGAAACCTCTGGGGTTTACAAAGGCTGTGCATGCCTGGGACAGACTGAAAAGCACCCCAGACATCTATTCATCCTCAGCTGAACAGGAGGCTTTGTACCTGTAATGTAAAAGCTGCCCAGGCTTGTAAACTGCTTGGCCTGTGGATGAGTTTCCCAACTCCCACACACCATTTGTTGGTAAAGCCTTAATGGCTCAAGACATTAAAGGACAGTCCCTGACCAATAATGGCTGACTACAAACATACACAGACCCAGGAGCCACTCCTTGGGAGCTAGATTGGAAACAAAAAGAGCAAGCCAGGAATGGTGGGCAAGCCTATAACCTCAGCTACTCAGAGGCTGAGCCTAGGGGATCTGGAGTTAGAGGCCAGTCTAAGCAACTTAGCAACACACTATCTCACATTTCAAAAAAAAGGGTGAGTTGGTCGGGGTGGCGCACGCCT